AAAAGGTACTTATCTAACTTGTGCACCCAATATTTTTAACAGAAGTATCTACGTAGAAGGGTTTTTTGTTTTTGTTTTTTGCTTTTTTTTTTGGTTTTGTTTGTTTAGTTTAGTTTTTATTTATTTAAAGAAAATAGGAAAGAATAGGTACTTACAGGAGCTTGCTTGCTCTCAGAGTCCAGGTGGGCATTAGGACGGGCACCATTCGAACCCCTTTGGTTATTACTGTTATAATCAACACGAGAGCCACTGTCTGAATCACCTTGGAAGTCACCGTTAGAGTCGCTCTCATTTGTGCTTTGACCATGATGTACGTTGTCACTAAAGAAATTCCGATACCGCCACCTTGTTTTTGGCTGATCTGAAGTTGTGTCATCAAAAACACTCTCAGAGTAAAAGAGCTTAGAGATACGTTGCATGTGCAACGGATCATTCCTATACTTTTTCGCCATTCTGCCATTTGAATCATGATTTCACGAATAAGGTAACTCAAATGAAGAAATACAGGAGGATAAATTTCACAATTCAGAGTGCTGCTAATTCGACCATTTTCGCACAAACAGACAGTGTTAATCAAGCATCAGCACAAAAGGCGAACGAACGAACTTACATGTATGCTAACTCTGTCTGCATCTGACTTCCTTCCAAAGAAAGAATATGATCAAGACATGAGTCTAAAGAACTCCCAAGTCTCCACAATCCCACAACAGCAGAAGCTCCTGCAAATAGGAAGAAATTAATGAGATGAGGAAATTTAGGACAATGATATATTATTAGCTAATGCTCAAAACTTTAATATATATCTATATATATATATATATATATATAGAGAGAGAGAGAGAGAGAGAGAGAGAGAGAGAGATTATTATACCTGCTGAAATACCAATTCGACCAAATAAACTCAGTTTCGGTGTGGCTGCGCGAGAACACAGTTGAAATTATAAAACAAAAATAACTGCAGAAAAACTAGCAGAAAGTCTTTTGGCGTATCATTTAAAAAAGAAAAAAAAACCTTATCAGCTCTGAATTGTCGGAGTTTACCAATTTTTGCTTAATTTGCAACATTACTTTAGTTATAACATGATTCTGACAATCCAATGCAGTGCTTGAAGTACCATAAAATTCTCCAAATACTGAAATTTTACTTTCAAATTTAATTTCAAAAACACAAGAAAATAGGACAATTTTTTTTGCAACCCATATAACATTACCAAATCAAAGAAATCTACAAATCCATGATTGCAATGCCGAATCAACAACGAAACATTTAAACCGAAATATATATATATATATAAAGAACAATTTACAGAAATTCAAATTAGGGCATTCCAAAATCTAGCCCCAAATTGAAAACAAAATAAAAAATTGGCGTACCTATCCATGCAACCCCGGCCCCAAAAAGAGCTCCAACGGTGTATTCCTTCATAGCCTTAGACTTGCAATTCAGGAGCGCATTTGATTCTTCTAGCGTCAATTTATGCTTCAAAAGTGTCGAAAAAACGATCGATTTCAAATTTTTTTTTTCAGTAGAAATTAGAGAAAGAAGATGACAATATTGATTAGGTTGTTGCGGATTTGGTGATCGATCGAAACAAAAGAAGAAAAAATGTGAGAAATTGGGGAAGAAAAATACCTGCTTGGACCTGAGAACTTGTTCGAGTTCAAATAAAACTTCCCCCATTGATGTTATGCTCCGAAACCTTGAAGAATTTGATGCGAAATGAGTTTGCTCAAAGCTTGTATGGCTGTTGGGAGGGCAAATTTGCAGAGGTAGTTGTGTTGTTGTTTTGGGCATCAACTGGGCTAACAGTGGGTAGTGATGGGGGTAGGCCCAGGTAAAGATGGAAAGGCCGCCAATGAATGGCCTAATTTTAACAACGACATCTTTTTATATAAACGACATGTCGTCCTTTTATCAACGACAAGGAAAAAGTCTAAAGAACGACATGTGGTTTATCACTTTATCTTATAGACGATAGAAAACTTTCATTTCCGTTTTTGGTACACAGAGTTTCGCGTACTTTAAAAAAAATCAAGTTGTGCGTTTAATTCGTGTGTTTAAATTAATAATTTTTAATTTTAATATTTAAATTTTAAATTTTTTTATAAAAAAAAATATTATAATAGAATTAAAATCATTAATTTAAATATATGAAATAAACGAGTCCGTAATTTTATTCTTTATCATTAACAAACTACATTAGATTATGTTTTCCACATTAAACGACGACATATTTTGATGGTTGTTCCATTTTCGAGCGACTGAGATAATATTCAAACACCCTTTATGTTTTATTAAAATACTATTTTGTTCTTCTAATTATGTAAATACTTAAAATATCTCTTGTGTTTATAAAGACAAACTCAAAATAATCTAAGAAGCAATTAATTTTTTAAAATATCAAAATTATATTTCTTAATATTTATTTATACAATTTAAAATATTATCAAAACAAAATGTTAAATAAAATCGATTTTTAAAAAATGAAAAAATCTTAAAAAATAATTGAAGTATTTCTTTGATTAGAATATTTATTTGGGCATTTATAAAAATTTTTATTTAATTTTTTAGTTAAATCATATCTAAAATAACATTTAATATAAATTGAAAAGAGTAATTGTAGTATTTTTAAAATTTTAAGTGTATTCAGAGCTGTTTTAAATTTATTTATTAATAAAATTTATGTGTCAAATAATGAATATAAAAAAATAAAAAAATTAGGGAGAGGGTTGTTAACAATTCTCGTACAAATACAAATAATCGAGCTCTTTTCCAAACCAGTATCTTTCCCTCCTTTTTCCTGGCCCGCCAAAACGCCATGTCAAGCCTCCCAGAGAGCACACTACTATCACTATCCCCCGCCCTCCCTCCCAACCCCACCACCGCCACCCTCGCCACCGCCCTCTCTTCCGCCACCACCACTTCCCACCTGAAACAATTCCACGCCCAAATCCTCCGCTCCAAGCTCGACCACCCCAACTCTCTCCTCCTCCTCAAGCTCGCCCTCGCCTCCTGCGTTCTCTCTCCCCCCAGCCTCGACTACGCCCTCTCCGTCTTCGCCCGCATCCCCGACCCCGAACCCCGCCTCTCCAACAAGCTCCTTCGAGAAGTCTCGCGCCGCGGCGACGCGGACAAGACCCTCCTAGTGTACGGGAGGATGAGGAGGGAGGGATCGAGTGTGGACAGGTACAGCTTTCCCGCGGTGTTGAAGGCGGCGGGGAAGACCCAGGCGTTGGAGGAGGGGAGGGAGATTCATGGGCTCGCTACGAAGATGGGTTTTGATTCGGACCCGTTTGTGCAGACGGGGTTGGTGAGGATGTATGCGGGTTGTGGGAGGATTTTGGATGGCCGGTTGGTGTTTGATAAAATGTCTCAACGAGATGTCGTTGCTTGGAGCATTATGATTGATGGGTATGGTTGTTTGTTACGTGTTTCTTTAACTATAGTGTCGTGCTTGGTTTTTTGTTGGCTCATTAAATGGGAATAACTTGCGTAAAAGATATGTTTAGGAAGAATAAATTCTTGTAAAAGAGCGATTATGATCGGGGAAAATTGCAACAATTTAGCTAGTTGAGGGGATAAAGCGCTAAAATTAAAAGTTTAGGGAGCAAATTTTTTAAAACCAGAAAAGTTGGGGGTGAAAGTGTAAAAACCATTGATACGCACTTTGTATAAGAAATTTTGAGCTAACTTAAGGAGTAAACTGGCCAAAAAGAACAAAAGAAGATTCTGAGTTTGTGCAAAACGAAAAAGAAAAAGAGAGAAAATGGAAATCTCACTTCTATGAATTTGACATGTAACATGTTATGGACAGATACTCCCAGAGTCGGCTATTTGACAATGTGTTCAACCTCTATGAAGAGATGAGGAACTCTGGGGTGGAGCCTGATGAGATGATTCTTTCCACCATTCTTTCTGCTTGTGGTCGAGCTGGAAATCTGAGCTGTGGGAAAGCAATCCATGACTTCGTCGTCGAGAATAGTCTTCTTGCTGATTCTCGTTTGCGAAGCGCTCTTGTTGCGATGTATGCAAGTTGTGGCTCCATGGACATAGCTCAAGAATTGTTTGATAAGATGTCGTCCAAAAACTTAGTGGTCTCAACTGCCATGATTTCAGGATATTCGAAACTTGGACGACTTCAAGATGCTCGCTTGATATTTGACCAAATGGTTGAGAAGGACTTGGTCTCTTGGAGTGCCATGATTGCCGGCTATGCTGAAAGTGATTGGCCTCAAGAGGCTCTTAGATTGTTTAATGATATGCAATTACTTGGAATTAGACCTGACCAGATAACTATGTTAAGTGTCATTTCAGCTTGTGCTCATCTTGGTGCACTGGATAAAGCGAACTGGATGCACATTTATGCCGATAGGAATGGATTTGGAGGTGCTTTACCTGTCAGCAATGCGCTGGTCGATATGTATGCCAAATGTGGTAGCTTGGAAAGAGCGAGAGAGGTATTTGAGAAGATGCAGAGAAAAAATGTAATATCTTGGACAAGTATGATCAATGCATGTGCCATGCATGGGGATGCCGTCAATGCTCTAAGTTTATTCCATCGAATGAAAGACAAGAACGTTGAGCCCAACAGTGTAACATTTGTGGGTGTGCTTTATGCTTGTAGCCATACAGGGTTGGTTGAGGAGGGCAGAAACATTTTTGCTTCAATGATCAACGAATACAACATAGCTCCTAAACACGAGCATTATGGTTGCATGGTTGACCTCTTTGGCCGTGCAAATCTCTTGCGAGAAGCTCTTGAGGTTATAGAGACAATGCCTGTGGCACCTAATGTTATCATTTGGGGATCTTTGATGGCTGCTTGTCGAATTCATGGGGAGAACGAATTGGGAGAATTTGCTGCGAAGCGGCTACTTGAGCTGGAACCAGACCATGATGGAGCCCATGTGGTGTTATCAAACATTTATGCCAAAGAAAGAAGATGGGAAGACGTTGGGAATATGAGGAAACTAATGAAGGACAGTGGGATATTGAAGGAAAGGGGATTTAGCAGAATAGAATCAAACAGCGAGGTACACGAGTTTTTGATGGCCGATAGAAATCATAAACAAGCAGATCAGATTTACGAGAAGTTGGACAATATAGTAAGTGACTTGAGGCTTGCTGGTTATGCTCCGAATACGAGCAGCGTTTTGGTTGATTTAGAAGAGGAAGAGAAGAAAGAAGTTGTTCTCTGGCACAGTGAGAAGTTGGCACTTTCTTATGGTTTGATAAGTGAGAGTAAAGAATCATGCATTCGCGTAGTTAAAAATCTTAGGATTTGTGAAGATTGCCATACTTTCATGAAGTTGTCTTCAAAGGTGTATGGGAAAGAAATTGTTGTCAGAGATAGGACCAGGTTTCACCATTTCAAAGAGGGTATCTGTTCTTGTAAGGACTATTGGTAATTGTAACTATTTTGTATGATTACAGAAAAGTATAATGATAATTCTCATTCTCCGTTGATACTTTGAAGGAAAAGGTGCAGATAATGCTTGTTATTATAATGGATTCTGCCTTTTCTTTTTAATTTTTTAAAACTAACATATAAAAGAAAAGGGTTAATTCCACTAATAGTCCTTGAGGTTTATCCTTAATCCCATTTTGGTCCTTGACTTTTAAAAAGTCCCGCATTTGGTCCTTGAGGTTTTACTTTCTTACAGTTTCAGTCCTTCTGTTAGTTAGGTTTAAATATTTGACATAATCTGTGTAAATTAGGGAGCAAAATTGAAAGTTCTAAAATTTAGAGACTATTCACGAAGATTAACTTTCTTTTTTTGTATTGTTTTAACCCCTAAACTTTAAATATTTTCAATTTTGCTTTCTAATTTTCACAGATTCCATAAAAAATTAACACCTAGATGACGATAGGACCGAAACTGAAACAAAGTAAAACCTCATGGGCCAACTGTGAGACGTTTTAAAAGTTAGAGATTAAAGTGGGATTGAGAATAAATCTCATGGACCATTTGTGAAATAACCCAAAAGAAAACGTTTCACTAGAACACAGTATATTAATTGCTCTTCATATCAAATCATGAAACGTCAAAGATGTTCTGATTACATTACATAAATAGTTAAAATATACGATTTTGATATTCTAAATTATCAGCTAAATATCTTTGAACTATGAAGAAATAGATAGAACAAAGGCATTAATAAACCCATTTGTGAGATAAACCCAAAAGAAAACGTTTCATTAGAATACAGTATATCAATTGCTCTTCATATCAAACCATGAAACGTCAAAGATGTTCTGATTACATTACATAAATTGTTAAAATATACAAATTTTATATTCTAAACTATCAGCTAGATATCTTTGAACTTCGAAGAAATAGATAGAACAAAGACATTAATAAAAGTTTGAACAGACAAATACCAAACAGAACAAAGAATGACCAAAAAGAAAATTAAGTTTCTCATAAGAAATGAGAATTAAACATTTGCTAAAACTCACTTTAGGTTGGGACTTGGACACTATCTTTTAAAGCAAAACTATGATAATTATGGACACTCTCAAAAGCAGAGAAGAGCCAAAGATCTTCCTTAATTTGGCCAACAATTCTTGACACCCTATACCTCAAGAAGGCCAATGTTGCAGAAACCAATCTTGGGTTTTCAAGTATTGAGCTCCTCTGATACTCAAGAATCCATGTGTTTGCATCAAATTGCACAGCAGAAGAGCCCCATTTTCGGTGTGTCCACGACGAGTTCGCCTTCCGAATTACATGGCTAATCTTGCCATCCGACCACTATTCGACCCAACAGATGAGTTGTAAAGTAAGAAAAATAAATCTTTTTCTGCGTAAAAAAACATAAAGATGAAAGCTTTTGGTTTTCTTACCTCTGTGACTCTGCCAGATATAACGGTGAACGACCGCGGAGAAAACCCGGTTGCGAGCAATCCCGCTGTCTGCAAAGGCCACCCCCAAATTCTTATTTCCTCCATTGATGATTTGTACAATCTGCAATGTGAACTGAGAAGCAAAACATCCTGAAAATCCAATTATAGCCCACATTATCAAATTAGTCCAAAGATAGAAAGTTGAAGTTACTTAAAACCAAAGTTTAGCACAAAATCATTGTGTGAAAAATTTTGTAATTACCTGATTAATTTCCCATCTGGAATTAGCATAGCTGCAATTTGAAATTTTCCCATCAACAAGACCCCGCAAAGATTTCTCCAAGAACCTCAATTTCCCATTCAAGTCCTTCACAGCCGAGGACTTTTCTCCAATTTTTCTCACAGAATCAGGCGAAATGCCAGGCTTTAGAACCCCAAAAATCGCACAAGAAAACCCATATTCCGCCATGAAAATCAAGCCCAGTACCAAAATTAACCTCGAAAAGCCACTCCCGAAACCTCGTTGTCTCTCCGTCGTTTTCTTCTTCTTCTCCGGATACTCCTTTGAATTCATCCTTGCGGAGGATCGAAGATCCGGGGACATGGAGACATTCTTCAGGGGCCTCGACGGGGGCGTTGAGAGAGAGTCGAAAGAAATCGGAGTGACTTCGACCCGGGGGCTCGGGCGCCGTGAAGCCGTGGAGAGCTTGGTAAGGGAGCTTTTGGGCATGAGGTCAAGGGTAGCGTTGATGCTCGCCAAGCAGATTTTGCAGTTGCAATTAGCGTCTTTGCGGCAACCTGGGTAGTAGCAGCTGTGCTCTTCTTCCGTCGCCGGCGTGGCAGTCGATTTCACTGAGGATGTCGACATTTGGGTGACACTTTTCATGGCTGGTTTTGGGTCTGAGTTGATCGATGAGCTTGCCTAGTTTTCAGTTGAGAGTTTTTTGCGTTCTTTGCTTTTATTTCGGTCTTTTGAAATTTGAATGCAACGGTCATATTTGGAATCTCGGAGGTTTGGCTTCTTGAAAAGACAAAAATAGCCCCAAGATTATATATTGTTACTGCCTTATACGGGTTGTACCCTTTCGTACAACCACGCAGTTGAATGACCCTCCTAGTTCTAATGATTTTATTTATGTAAGGGAAATAATAGAAAATATGTCAATATAAAAATTTTAAGAAAGTATATAAGTCAATTTTTAGTTATAAAAATTAATAGGCTATAACTTGTCAAGTTATGGTTTATAACCAGATAAGTTATGGATAAATTTGTCAAGTTATGGTTCATAGTCAGACAAGTTATGAATAATTATGGACAATAACTTGTCAAGTTATGATTCATAACCAGACTAGTTATGGACGAAAACAGTAATTTGGCCTATTTATTAACTTATGTAAACTATTGACCTATTAATTTTAATTCATCTCAAGTCTTGGTATATTTTTCTCTTTTTCTCTTTATGTAATTACAAATTATTTATTTATTTATTTTTGCTCAAGATTTTCTTTTCTGGGTTAAAGCTTCGTATTTACCTTTTGGTAATAACCTTGTACTATATTCCCATTTGAAACTGAAAATATTAATAGTATGTAGTTTGTTGGTTTGAATTGTGTTGATTTAAATTTTTTTATTTAAACTAAAAAATTCAAACAATATGATTTAAACAGTAATCTGAATTAACATTTTATTGTGTATTTAAAGTTTTAATTTAAACAAAAATGTAATCTGAATTAACGTTTGAACAATAATTGAGAAGTGTAGTTTGAACTGAAAAATATAATAATATAATGCATAAGAAATAATACAACACCTAAGAATTTATTAAAAAAAAGTTTTCTAAATAATAACATTTTTTAATTGGGTAGCAATTTTTAAAAATTAAAAAAATAAGATAATGCACAACATGAGGCATAATTGGGTAGCTTTTCTTACCTTTTTTTAAAAGGTTTTTTTTTTTTGTCTTTTTTGAGTAAAAATTATCTATATAGGTCGGTTCAGTTCGTTAATTTGAGTTTTTAATTTGAGTTGAGATGTGATATTGTGTGAGAGCTTTTTACTGTAGTAAAAAAGTTAAATGTGACTATTTTTAAAAATATTTTATTGTAACAAAACTTGAATTCTAAACTCGAATCAACGAAAAGAACGAGATCTTTTTGTAGAGTTATTTTTAATAGTAAACGGCCATCAATGCACAACAGGAGGCATAAGTCCTGTGGGCCCAGTAAAAAAAGAAAAACAGAATTGGGAGGTACTTTAGAGCAATTCGAACAGAGCTCTTTCAATTTTAATTAAATTTAAGTTAAAATGGTTAGAAAATTATTTTCACTAATAATTATTAGGTGGTATACTTTAATTAAACTCTCATACTCTCCATTTTAATTAAGTATAGATTATTTTAATAGTTATTGAGTTTAAAAATGTAAATAATTTTATTGAATTTTAAATGAACTTTTGCATTTATATAATTTAAAATAATAAAATAATATAAAAAATCAAATAGCTATTATGAAATGAATTCTCTAAAATAGTTAACTATTTAGTTAATAATTAGAGTGGAAAAAAATTAAATTCTAACTAACTCATTAACTATTTTAACTAAAATTATAAAATAATTAGCATAGTTAGAATTGCTCTCACACTTTACAATATTGGTTTGAAATGTTGAATTGTTGGGGGTTTAAAACTCACCGATTCAGCTCAAGTTAAATGAGCAATTCAATTGCAATTAATGCTCTTTTCAAACACCAATTGCAAACACAATTCGGACTGAATTGGGTTGAGTTGGCCGAATTACCCAACCAAACAGGGGCTAGATATATTTCTTTTTTTAATGGGAGGCGTAATTGCTTATTGAAAGAGATGTAGTTATATATAATATTGGGTTGAGGTATAATTACAACTTTTTCTTACTTAAGAGCATAATTGAAATTATATATGAATGAGTTTTTAATGGTTATATTTTTATCGGTGGTCATTTATAAATATAAAAATTTGATAATATGACGTGATAAATATCCAATTTCATTAATTATTATCGATTTTTTTAGTCAACTGTTCAATATATATATAAAAAAATCTACATATAAAGGGTAATTTTAAAAAATACCCCTTAAAATTTAACCTTTTTTATTTCAATTCTTTAACATTTGCCTATATATTTCTATCTTTTACCTTAAAATTTGTTGAGAGTAGAGTTTTTTTAAAATGATTACTTTTAATAAATCAGATACTTAAAAAAGTTGGATATATAATTTTCTCACATATATAAAACTTAAAATGTAGGTGCTATAGTAAGACTATAGGTATGTTCATAATTCAAGTATATATTAATCAATATTTGACATTGAACACTCATATTATCTGTAAGTGTTGTTAACGCACTTATTCTCTCAATCACAACAAGAGTAAAAACAGTCCATAAAATGTTAACTAGCGTCTAGCGACGAACATGAAATTGTGGGAAAAAGAAATTACAGTTAAAGTAATATCCCATGAAATTATAAAAATGAAAAATAAGAAAAAAAGGAAGTCTTAATTCACCATGTATTAAGTTCATTAATTCTATCACATTTTTGCTTATAAAGTACATAGTGAATGCTTGTGTACTATTAGGAGCTAGTACAAATTGTTATAGAAATGTTAAATCCATTGTAGCCTTTTGGGACAAAATCTTTTCATGTGTTCCTCCACACATTTGACATCTTTTTTTTTTTTTTTTGAAATTCCACACATATGACCTCTTAATTGGTATGGGACATTTTGTTTACTACTTTAGTAGCAGTTCACATAATAATAATAATAATATAATTAATATTAATTTAATAATAATAATATAATTAATATTAATTTAATAATAATAATAATATAATTAATATTAATTTAATAATAATAATATTATTACTAATATTATTATTACTTCTAATAATATATCAGCCCCTAGTGGGGTATGTTCTTTCTCGTGGGCTGAAGGTGTTGGTTAATTTTTTCCTTGTCATTTTCTAGTTAAACCATTCAATGATTCAAATAAATAAAATAAAATAATCCCCTCAAAACAATAAACTAAAATAAAAAAATAAAGTAGGTTCCATCAGCTTCAGAAGGGGAATCTCTTCACATTAATTAATAAATCTGCTTTAGTTTCATTAATTCTAGTTGTGTCATGTTATGAGAGAGCTCAAAAAAACTTTTATTGAGAAGTCGATCTTTACCGAGGCACACAGAAAACCCAAAATAAATACTGCTTGAAGATGTGGACCCCCCTTTTACTCCCATCCATAGAATCTTTTTTGGCAAATATATTTGATTCCTAAAAAAGCATGTTTCAAGAGAATTCCCTCAATAATCAGGCATCGGAAAATTGATGGTTGAGACCGCAACATCTGGTGCTTCTTGTCAATGGAAGTTTGAAAGTTTTTTTTTCTCTTTTTTCCCCCCCTTTTCATGCATTAAGCATCCATGGAATTGGATTCTTGATACCAAAGAATAGCAGATGTTCTGTTCTGTGTTAAAATCAGATGTGAAATATCCCCGTATGCCGGAGCCAAAAAAAAAAAAAAAAAAAAAAGACAATACTTATCAGCTAAAAATAAGTTGACTTTTAAAAAAAATAAAAAAAAAGTAAAAGTCCGGAAAGGAGGCGACTTACGGTTAGCATATTTTTTTGATGTTATTAAGAAAACGTTTGGTTCATAGATTAGAATCATGTGATTAGAATCATTTTCGATTTACGTGTATTTTTTGTGAGAGAAAATACTGTAATAAACTATGAGCTATGATTCAAATCATAGTTTGAATCCTCCAACCAAACATCCCCTAAAGAACCCCCAGACATTGAGAGAAATGTTATATGAATCTCTATGGGCGGATCTTAACCCTCGGACGGGAAACACGTTACCTCAACCACATCAAATTTGTTAATTATAAGTGTTTGTGGAGGTGCGGTCTCAAACACTCTAATACTTCTAATGGGGTAACCTAACACTCAAACTTATGATCACAAGCCTACAACAATATTCCACTACTGTTAGGCCTCCACAGGTGGTGGTAAGAAAAAAGTTGACTTGTGCTGTGCAGAAGTAATTAAGCAGACATAATTTTTGCTTGAGCAGTGCTATTCAGCATTTCAATGTTGAATATATTAGTGTGTGGAGAAAAATTTAGAGTGCTTTTCTTGTAATCATTTTCTTCATCGTAATGAAATTTGGTAACGGCTAAAATTATTTGATGTAGTCTTTGAAATTACATTGAAAGTGAACCGTTATGAATGTTAGGTAAATGTCTCAAATTGGTTTTGAGTAAGTTATTATTTTGTGTTTTTGAGTAAGTTATTATTTTATGGTCCATCAGGAACCTATAAATAAGTATTTTGTGTAGGGGTTTGTGTGGAGAGAAAACGTGGAGCAAGAGCGAGTGCTTCCATTTGAGAGTAAGAAAGAAATTTGAGAAGAGAGATAGACAAAGGGTGTAAGGAGTTTTGGGTAGAGAGAGATTGAGAAAATTATTGAGTGTGTAATTCTGAAATTGTTAGTGATTGTTTTTCTCTCTTTTGTGGACGTAAAAATTTTTTCCAAACTAACAAAATCTGTCTTCTCTACTTTTCTGTTATTTTTATTTCAGTTTATTTTTCCGCTGCGTGGGTATAAATGTGTGTTTTTTTCCCAACAATAGTATCAGAGCTGTGGTGAATATCTGAAGAAAAAAAATCAAGATGATGTTCGAAATAAAGTTTGAGCAGATTAAGCGTTTTGACGGGAAGAGTAATTTCAGTATATGGCAGAGTATGATTAAACATGTTCTGATTCAGCAGGGATTACTGAAAGCGCTGTAAAGAAAAAAGCCAGAGAATATGCAAGATGAAGATTGAGAAGAATTGGAAGCGAGAGCGGTAAGCACAATTTATTTAAGTTTGGCTCCTGA